CCTGTAACGAATCCAGGATCACGAAGATTTACCCCTGTGTTTTCCTAAGAGTTTTATAGTTTTAGCTTTTATATTTAGGTGTCCAAATTAATCATTTTATATGTTGTGAAGTAAGAGGTCAACTTTATTTTCTTGCAAGGGAATATCCTGTTGTCTCAGCACCATTTGGTGAAGAAACTTCGTTCTTGATTGAAAGAGTACGTTGGTAGCCCTTGTTGAAAATCACTTGTTTGTATTTATTTCTGAACTCCTGATTGTGTTCCGTTTATCTATATGACTCCCCTTATGCCAGTACTTTATGGCAGTCTTTTTTGTGGGGGAGGGGAGGGATGGGAGGGTGGCACAGGCACACACGCCAAGGGTGTTTCTCAAGCCACCGGGTCCGGGACTTGAACCACATAGTGGCCATGTGGGATCCAGCTCCCTTAACCACCAGGCTGCTGGCTGGCCCCTATGGCAGTCTTGATTACTGTGACTTTCTAGTAAGTTTTGAAATTAGGAAGTGTGAATCCTCTAAATTTGTTCTTCTTTTTCAAGATTGTTGAAACTGTTCAGTGTCCCTTGCAATGACAGAAATTGCAAGAAATTCAATTCCTTGAATTTTAGAACTGGCTTCTCCATTTCTGCATGAAAGGCCATTGGGGGACCAGCCCATGGCCTAGTGTTTAAGGCACTTGGACTTCACAAGGCTAACCACCAGGGTATTCCAGCTCTGGCAGCTTGAAAAACATCCTGGGCATGTGTGCATGCATGCCCAAAACCCAGAAAGGAGAGAGATGGAGGAGAAGGAATCACAGCATGACCATGCTCCATAGGGAGGTATTTCCTCACTTTCAATCTCCTTCTAATCACAGCATGACCATGCTCCATAGGGAGGTGTTTCCTCACTTCCAATCTCCCCTGTCTCTCTTCAAAGAGCACACATGCCCTCTGGCAAATCTGAAAAAAAGAAAGAAAGGAAGAAAAATAATGCTATTGGGTTTTAAAAGGGACTGCCTAGAATCTATAGATTGCTTTGAAACTCTTGCTGGTCGAACGCATCAAATATATTTAAACTTACAAATACATAAAAATGATCAAAGAATAATATTTGCCCTTGGAAAATGCTAGTGAGCCAACTGCATATCATGCCTTTCCTATAAAAACTACTCTGGGATTTCCAAATGATTGGGTATCAAGACTTTTTTGTTGTTGTTATTAGATTTTGCTGTAAGGTGCATGCACTCACAGAGAGACAGAGACAGAGAAAGAGGGAAAGTGAGAAATCAACCCCCAGGGCTATGGCCACATCAAAATCCCTTCTTCGCTAGTGAGCCAACTGCATATCATGCCTTTCCTATAAAAACTACTCTGGGATTTCCAAATGATTGGGTATCAAGACTTTTTTGTTGTTGTTATTAGATTTTGCTGTAAGGTGCATGCACTCACAGAGAGACAGAGACAGAGAAAGAGGGAAAGTGAGAAATCAACCCCCAGGGCTATGGCCACATCAAAATCCCTTCTTCTCTATTTTCCACTTGGGATTTTGGGCACACACGCACACGTGCTCAGAGTGATTTCCAAGCCACCAAGTCTGAGACTCGAAATGTGGAGTCTGCCATGTGGGATCCAGTGCCTTAACCACCATGCCACCTGCTGGCCCAGTATCAAGACATTTTACTTTCTAAACATATTCCAGGCAATACAGGGACAAGACATTTTAGAATTAGTCTATCACCTTTAAAGAATACTAGGATACCATCTGCTAACCTCACAAAAAAGAGACAGTCATTTTGTGTCTCCTGGGGGAAATGCATACCATCATCGAGAATGTATTTTTCCTTAAATATCTGACCAATCCTGAAGGGTTAACTACCAATTTCCAGGAAATACAGGGAACAGAGGAACACATTAAAGAACACAGGATAAAGTCAGCAAAATTTAGACAGTGGGAAATATTGTAGGACCAATGACCAGGTTTCTTTAATTAAAAAAAAAAAATGTAAGGAAGAAAACAGGATATAGAAGAAGAGCCTATAGCTTAAAAGAGATTTAAGATACATAACAATCAATTGTAATGTATAGACTTCATTTGGATTCTGATCTGAATAAATTGTCAAATACATGCTTATATTCGGGGAAACTTGAATGTCTGAATATTTGATAACAGTAAGAAATGGGTGATAATTTTTGGTATCTATGTTAGAGAGGCACACTGAAATATTTACAATGGAAATGATACAATGTATAGGATTTGCTTCAAAATAATCTCTGAATAGGCAGTGGCTAGAGGCTCATCTGAAACAAGATTGGTCAGGAAGAGTTGAGTATTGAAGGTGGGTGATGGGCACGGAGGGCTCATTATACCACTCTTTCTTCTTTTGTAATTGTTTGAAATTTTCCTACTACATTAGGAGCCAGCAGGTGGCATGGTGGTGGTTAGGGTGCTAAATTCCCACATGACTGACCTTGGTTTGACACCTGAACCTGGCTTGAAAATCACAACAAATAAATAGATCATTTTAAAAAAGAAGAATATTTCCTACTTTAAAAATAAAATATCAGGGAACCAGCAGTTAGTGTAATGGCTATGTCGCTGGACTCCCACGTAGTCGACCGCGGTTCGCGTCTCGGACCCGGTGGCTTAAATCTCACGCCGGGCGCGTGTGCATGCGTGCCCAAGATCCCGAGAGGAGAATGGAGGAGAAGGGATTGCGGCGTGACCATCCCCCC